AACATCGTATGAGCACGAATCTATTGTTTATAACGTCAAGGTATTATTTCTTAGCAGTTCATTTGCTACTGTATTAGTTCTTAGGTTAAACTGCAATTAATCTTACAAGAACCAATTGATGGATTTGTATTATGAATCTGAGTTGTATGGCTATAATCCCATATATACTCGTGGCATCAACCGGCGATATAATCTTTTTAATCATCCACAAATATCGTTAGTATTAAGAAAGGTAATGTAGGAGTGTGTTTTAGATGCCACGATTGGATCGTTTGGATGATACGATGTTACGCGGAGCCCAGTTAGTAATGCAAATAATGGCCAAGAAAATGGAACTAAATGCAAATCTTGATAAAGAAAGAAAGCGTGCCGGTAGTGCTATTACCAAAGAAAATATTGGAAGCGGAGGAAACGGCGTGGGAGTTGGCCCGCAAATACATTTCCAGCAATTCAGCCATAATGCGGTAGGCTGTTTCATGCGTTTTTTTTTCCGCAGGTATCATAAAGTATCTCATTTTAAGATCAATGTTAAAATTCTAATTTTATTCATAGCTATAAGTTTTATTGCATGTTGTTTAGATCTTTACAATTCCAGCACATTTTTCGAAATCCAACTTCCATTTGTTAAACCCTACAATATATCAAGCGCTTGGATCTCATTCTAGATTTATAAGATGCATATATCAACCCGAAAATTCTACTGACAGTAATATTCCCAACTATTTTATATATTTCAGGAAAAAGCGAAGAAATCAAAGGAAAGGAACGATTGGTTTACTGATTTAGCTCATGGCAAACCTTTGGCAATACTAGCCCGGAAACCACCGTTTTTTCGCAAAAAGGTTACATTTTTGAATGCAATCTAAGCATGTGTAATCGCCGCTTTATATTATAATTTCAAGATCACTTTCACTGCAGATTGTTCGGTATCTCTGGAAACCTTGCTAGATAGCTCCAATTATTGTTCACAGATGCTTAGCTAGAATTGTATCTGAAAGTAAATGCATTGTTTTAGTTATCTAAAAAATAATAAAATGGACATAAGGATGAAGCAATTTTATTCAGTGGCTCAGATTCATGTCTTCTTGTGTATCGTTATTGTTAAGTAGTAAAAGCTATCGCAGGAGGATGCATTGGAATACTTGTGTGATTATAAAGTACCAGTTAATCGAGCGCTATGGTTTCTAAAACTAATTGCTGTCGGTGGTCAAGGATGCAGTAGCAACGTTAATAAGCAGAAGAAGTCCACTACTGATCAACTGGCTTCTGGTAAAAATCTTTTTGGATATTTTTTCAGTCTTAAGATGCATAGGAAGATCATATTGGTATTGGTTTGGTTCTAAAAGTTTTAGAAACATGCTGATGCTTATACAATTAAGGCTTCATATTTATAGGACTGTGCTTTTTACAGTTTCTAATATTGTTTGAGGGACATCGTTTGAAGGATTAGAACTGATTGTTTTGTCCTATGCATATTTGAATTTCTTTAGTATTTTGCAGAACTCGCATCACTTTTCGCGAAATTTGTTAAACTAATGCTCAATCAAATGAGCGATAGTGCCAAACTAGAATCGAATATTGTTTATACCGATCGGTGGCCACATTTTGTGTACATATGTAAACATGCCTACGAGGTAATCTCGTACTCTGCCATACATTTTAGCTAATTTACAGAAATTATTTCATTTTTTTACTTTTCCTCTTATCTGTCTTCCTGTTTCTGCACAAACTTTTAATAACTACCAGTATCCGAATCGTTTTCTAGGATGGAATGGTCGAGAAGCAAGAATTTTTGATGGATTTACTGGATATATTCAATGACCGATTTGTACAGCCTATTGAAAATCATCAGAATGACAAGTCATCGATTCATTCTTTTTTGCATCATGGTAAGTACAAGACAGTGTTTTGTCAGTTGCTGCAATCAAGCGGGTTATCGTGATTCTTAGAAACTCATTGCAGGATCCGGACTTGCTTCAAGCGGCAATCAATCTCATTACATCACATTATTCCGTCTTTTCCTTCTATTTATTTGTCAATACACGGATCAAATCACACAGAATATAGTCCTGTCGAAAAGATGCGCATTTTTGATATGTCATAGATTGGAACTGTATCGGGACGAAGCTGAGGAGCGGGAAGGCAGGTTTGTTTAATGACATCATATTTCCCCTTATTCATGAGTATTGCATTATTTCCAGCAACCTATTTCGTTATGTAGCAAATAAATATCACTAACTACGCATGGGATAGTATTGTTGGTTCTCGAATTGTCGTAAAGAATAACTCTTCCTCATGATGTTTCTTGAAAACAAATTATCGATTAGAAAGGGGAAGATTGTCTAATTTCATCTTTTCCTTTTTTGGCAAAATAATAGAATGTTTTTGAGGTCAGTGGATTGTGCTGAGCTGTTCGATGATATGCAGCAATGTATTCATCAGCGTGCAATAATTCTGACACTTTGTGGTATGCTACATGCTATACTAATTGATTGCCCTGCTGCTCTGATATGGAATAAATATGAAGGTAAGCTATACTTCTGGTAGACTTTGAGTGACGTGGATTACAGATGCAACATCTCAGCATCCACGGATTACAATAAAATTTGCAAAAGTTTAAACACTTTATTTTAGTTATAGTCGGTTTTTTCATGATGTATTAATGCAATTTTCATTTTTTTATAGTATCACCGGGACGTCCACCTACCATGCTTCACCAGTTGTGCGGTTCACCACTGGATCATCTGCCATGTCCGTTCGAAAGTCTTCCTTTGCCACCAGGTCATGGCACCGAGCGACTGCAGGATTTCATTCAGCTTCGACTGGCTGAGGTACGACGACGTTCTCGTGCTTGCGAAAATAAGTGGTCACTGAATTATGCACAGAAGAAGGGCTTTGGTTTGTTCATATGTTAATTATGAGTCGCATTGTCTGTTATTAAAACCAAATCTCGTGGACGATCATTCTAAGATCTTTTTTGATTACATTTTTTCTTTCGCATATACAATGGATTTCAAAGCATTTAACAGATCAACTTTAAAAATTGAGTAGGTCACGCATAATTGTTTTCATATTAACGAAAATGGAAAATATTATTTGGTTTGGACTAGACGGTTTGAATGAATTACATCTGGTGGATTAAAATATATTGTTTGATAGATGACATCATGAAATCTTTCATGGAAGAATGAAGTTCTTGCGATCTGGAAGCTTTATGGGAGAATCGGGAAGCCCTGTCAAATTCGGGAACTAATTTTAAAAAAGAAAGAAATTTTGACATTTACATTTCCTTATAGATTTCTCTGTTTACCTTATTTGTTATCTGTATTCATATATTCATATTTTTTCAGCAGCTATGGTTTTGCAATGTCTGGAAATAGTTGGTGTACTTGATTCAGCACGTTTGGATCAATCAAACTGCATCGAAAAGATCTATGCAGTAATTTTTAACGGACCCTCAAAAGAAAGCTTTGAGGTAAAGCTTAATATTTCTTGGCATAATTCATGTTCAGTTCTTATTTAGTGAGAATCTTTTACTTCGTTTATCTTTGTCTATCTTATAATTTTGCAGATAAATCTTTACTGCTTTGTAGCACGAACATGCAATCCGCGTGAAGATGCTTCTGCAGTGGGCAGTAACAATGGAAAGGGAAGGGACTTATCGTGCGATACTTGTCGCTCAGCTACTCGCATTCCGAATTAATCATCGGAAAACGTTCAAATTTGGTATACTTTTTCACCCAATACCTAATGCATACTGCTTAAGATGCTTATTTGCTGAAATAGCTAGCCGTGGTCAGTAGAGCAACCATATTCATCTGAACAGATTTCCTTTTGATAGTTTGGCTGCATAAGATAAAGCCTTCGCTATCTGTCAAAAGAAAACAAAGTGTCAAATATTCTGGGGCCTGGCACATTCCTACCAGTTGCACTCTCAGCAATAAATCTTGGTTTTT